TTATAAGCCAAAAATATTCTAAATACTATAATTTGTTCAGATTTATTATTAACTCATTTTTTATTTTTTTTGAGTTTTCTCCCTTTCTATTACAAAGGCCTCATATAATTCTCGTTAATAACATATTTGAGTTAATACATGATTGGTCCTTTTCATTATACTTATACTCTAGATTTAACAATAGTTTTTAAACTCATTCTCTAGTTGTATTATATATTATTATACAGTATATAATTTTATAGATGTGTGTGTCTAAAAAATCAAATAATTCTTTTGATATTGATCACAATTCTACACTTTTTTCTGTAAATTGATTTACATATATAATTAACAAATTTACAATTGGCATAAAAAATAAAATAATTTAGCTAATTAATATATACAAAGATCAGCACATAATTTGAAATATTTACACTCTTGTTAGCTTTATAGATTTGAAGGTCCTGACTATTTAATAAGCTTTCAATCTAATTTATAAATTCAATAGTAAAATCTTCCAATTTTGAGTATTTTATATTAGTTTGTTTCTTTTAGTAAAGGTTTAATAACAGGTTATTGACAATAGATTAATTTAATTCAAGTCCAATATAAATGAGAGTAATGGATTATTAAATGAGCGTTTGGCAAGATCTAAAAATTTCATTTTTTCTGAAATTCTACATATAATATCATAAGGAGATTCACTCTAAAAAAGATAACAAAATGTGATATGAACTCTTGAAGAATGCTTATAGTATAATTTAATATAAAAGTATTTATTAAAATAAAGAACTTACTAATTAATTGATTTTGAAGTTTCTTTTTAGACAAATGCATTTTTAATATATTAATAATATAGAAAAATTACTATTCTTGATTATTCAAACAAAATTAAAGTAAGCTTTTTTAGTTTTAGAGATCAATTCTATGATATCTACTAATATGTTATTATTTTTCAAATATGCTAGTTTAAACTTTATCAAAGAAAATAATGATAATATATTATATTTATATATCTGAAATGTTATATATATTAAATTGAAAAGGGGAGAAAATTATATAATTATTAAAGTGATATTTTATCATCAATAAGAAAATATTTTCTATTAATTTAGTAAATAATATTATTATTCAGTTTATTCATATTTGTAAAGGTGTAGAATATATTAGAGATGATCATAATTTTAGAAATAGTTTGTATATGAGAAATATGTATTTTTTTAAGGCTATTTAATATTTTTTTATTGATAACATTTTATATTTTATATTTTATATTATACATTCATAATATAGATTAAATAATATAGAATAGAATACTTTAATATTTCTTTAATAGATTTTATAGAATATCTTATGATTTATTTATGATTTCAAAAATATAACTTATTAATAATTTTAATGTAATTTTATTATTACTCTAATATAATTTTAATATTTATTTAATATATATTTAATATATATTTACCATAAATATACTTTAACTTTAATATAACTTTAAAATATATGTTTATGATTTTGATACTATTTTTATATAATTTGATTAAATTAATTAATGATTTTTTTAATATGAATTAATTTTAATTATATATTAAACATAAATTTATCATGATCAAATTTTAGTTATAAAATCTATAATAAATTTTTAATTTAATTATAATATTAAAAAATTTTGCATTATATATTATTATAATAAATTATTAAACTTTTTTTCTATTTTTAATAAATATTTATCAAATAATTAAACAATTTTTTTTTAAAAAAAATTTAATTTTAATTTAATATTTAAACTACTTAATAAATTTATTTTAATTTAATATATTAATAAATTATTTTCAATTTACTTTAAGTTATATATTAATTTAATATATTATTAAATTATTTATGATATATTTTTTGGAATTTTTTTTTATTTTTAAAAAATAATTTTAACACAAATTTTATTTTTTTACAATCAAATTTTATCTTTTTATAATCAAATTATTAAATATTATTAAAATACTAATAAAAAATTATCTTAAGAATAAAAAAAATGAAAGTTAAATTTTAATATTAACTAATCAACTTTTAAAATAATAATTTTATTTTTATTTTCTTATAATAAAATCTTATTGCAATGCTAATCAAAACTAAAAGTGTATTTTTAATATTCAAATTATCTGAAAAATAAGAAGAGTTAAAATATAAGTTAAATTTTATTAACTAAATAGTTAAATTTTCAAATAATAGATTGATTTTTTTACTTTTTATAATAGAAAAAATAAAAACATATTCATCAAAATCATTTTAAAGATTAAAATAAGGTAATTTAAATTTTATCACAATATATTATTATTATATTAATATTAAATAACATTTTAAATTATAGAATTAAATATTATTTAAGTTCAAAAATAATACAAGAAAACTTAGCTTCTATTAAAATTTAGATAAGAATAAGTAATAAGTAACTTTACTACATATTTTATTTAAATTATCAATTATTCTGATAATTTAAGATTAGATATTATTTTTAATTTATTTTTATTTATTATTTTATGATAATTAGAGATATTAAAATCCAGTTTATTTTTAGTTTAATTTTAAAACTTCTAATCTAAAGAAGATTCAGTTCATAAGACTTGTAATTTTAAGATTACAGTTTTATAAAAATTAAGTTTTGTAATTCTAATACTGTAATTTTATAAAAATTAGAACTTGTAGTTTTAGGATTATATTTCTGTAAAAATTGGTAAAGAATAGAAAAGTTTAGGTTGTTGAATTCATTAAGCTAATCTTTCAGTAAACTGATACTCGCTATTAACGTTACTCTTTCCGTCAAATAAGTTAACTATGATTTGAAGTCAGGAAGATAATAGCTATGACTTAAATCCAATCAACTTGACATGCTGTTTATTAGAGTTTATTTAGTTAACAAGAAATAAATTATAAGTTTTATATTTGCAAAATATTAAGAGTGTTTATTATTGTTATTAAATGTATTTTGAATACAATGTTAAGAACTTGTAGGAATCTGTATGGAATCTTGTTGGAATCTGTTTTTTTTCCAAGGCATTTTCATGCCCTTTATATAGAAAAATACAATTAAAGAAAATCTATTATATTTATGATATTACTGACAATAATAACAGAGCTAACAGATATGCTAATTATATTAGATACAATATAAATGATAATAGTAATATAATAATAGAAGTATAATAAATATTATGTATGTCCTATTTGGCAGATATGGCAGATTTGGCAGATTTGGCAGATCTAACATATATGTCATATTTGATAGGTTCATTAATTTTTATCAGTTTTATCACTAATCGAAGATGCCTAATTTCACATTTCTAAAGTATACTCTTTATTCTATTCAAACTATAGATTCTTATTAAAAAGTCCTAGAAGAAATACATTCTGTCAAGAAAATTTGAAATTATGTCAAGAGAATTTATGCTTAAGAGAACAACTTTTTAATTCTTTTTCTCAAATTTCTGAAATTTCTGCAAAATGTAACCTTTTAGAAATAAGACTAACTGAACTTTTTCTTATTTACATCATTGAGATAATAGGTTTAATTATTTTAAAGAAGTATATAATCAATGTAAGAAAGAATTACATTTTCTTTAAGAGAATGATTATCCACAAAATTAGGAAAGAATTCAAACATTAAATTATTCAGTCAAATAATTTAATCATAATTATAATTATGTATTGGATTAGCTTTATGCTGAAACTAGTAGAAACTGATAAACTGGTCATATATGACATATCTGCTAAATATGCTATATCTGCCATATATGACATATTTGTCAAATATGATATATCTGTCAAATAGGACACATATATCATTTATTATATCTTTATTATATCTATTATTATTATTATTTATAACATATTTAATATAATTAGCATATCTGTTAGCTCTGTTATTATTATCAGTAGTATTATAAATACCATAGATTTTCTTTAATTATAATTTTCCTATATAAAGGGCATAAAAATACCTTAGAAAAAGAATAGATTCTAAAAAGATATAAATATTGTGTTCAATATACATTTAATAACAATAATAAACAATCTTAACATTTTGCAAACATAAAACTTATAATTTATTTCTTATTAACTAAGTAAACTCTCTAATAAATAGCATGTCAAGTTAATTAGATTTAAATCATAGCTATTGTCTCCCTAACTTCAAATTATAGTTAACTTATTCGACGAAAAGAGTAATATTAACAATACAGAAAATTTATTAAAATAGATTATTTTTCTTTTTCTTTTTTTCTTTCTATTTGATATATTTTGATAATTATTTAATAAAATTTTTGCACATTGTTGCATTTTGCCTTTTATAAAATTATCCATTAATAATTCAATAATAATATAATAATAAAATAATATTTCTTAATTTCAATTATCTCAGTATCCAGTAATTCATTTAAAATAAAATATATATCATTATAATACTTTTAATATGATAAACATATTGATTTTAATTTTATAAAATTCTAATTAGTAAGTCACGAAAAAATCACCTCTGAAACTTTTGTTTTAATCTATTATTCTTGTAAGAATATTTAAAAATCAGTAGCACAGTATAATTGTAAGACATGGATTAGACTTATATTTTTTTTCTTTTATTTTTCCATTAACACTCTACTCTCTTAAGTACTTTATATTCATTAGAATGTATTTCTATTCTTCTTAGATATTCAAATTATTTGCTGCTAGTTGATACAATTATATAGCGTTGGTAAATTTCAAGGTCATTTTCCTTTTTTTGAAGTAACTTAGGTCACTTTGTATATGATCACATGATAGATTTTATAGTAAAATCATCATATAATTAGGTCATTTTAAGGTCACTTCAAAGTCATTTTCCAATACTGCAATTATAAGTAATTAAATACCAATATTTTTCTTAACATTTCAAATTTAATTTTTAATTGAATTATCTTATCAACTAATTCTCTATTTTTATTTTCCATTCCAATAGTATTAGAAATTCCTTTATAATAAATATAGATTACAATATTGCAGTAATTTTTTGATTTATTATTCACTTCAGATTTATCATTATTAATTAAATAGCTTGAAAAGTTTTAATAAATACTTATGTTAGATTATCTTTTCCTTTCAATTTATCTGGAAATTCTTTTTCTTTTATATGATCTTTTTAAGGTTTAAACTCTAATTTAATTATAGAATTTGCTTCTTTTAAATTTTTTTTTGTATTTCCTTTTTTAGATATTTTATTAAATGATATCATATCATATCATATATCACGTGATTTGTTTTTAATTTGTATTTTAATTAATAATTTATATTTTAACTTAAATAAATTGTTTTAAATAATTCAAAATATTTCAAAATAAATATTACAGATTTATACTTAAACTTGCAAGTTCATCTACTTAATTCTTTTTAGTAGAGTAATATGTCACTCAATTTATTTTTCCTTAGAAAGAGTAGTTTATTGCTCAATTTCTTCAAATTTCATATATTTTGCTAAATCTGTTAGCAGTCTAAAATTAATTCTATTTCTCAATTCTCTTTAATTTAAACTTTTATACACTTCGCTAAATCTGTTAGCAGTCTGTTATATATAAAATCAATTCTATTTTTCAATTTCTTTTTAACTTAAACTTTTATATATTTCACTAAATCTGTTAGCATTCCATTATATATAAGATTAATAGTATCCTAGCAGGAATCACCTCTTATTAATATTACTTTATCCGTTGAATAAATTAACTATGATTTGAAATTAAGGAGATAATAGCTATGACTTAAATTTAATTAACTTAACATGCTATTAGTTAAAGAGTTTATTTAGTTAATAAGAATAAAGTTATAAGTTTTATGTTTACAAAAATATTAATGTTGTTTATTATTGTTACTAAATATATATTGAATATAATATTGGAATCTATTAGAATCTGTCCTTTTCTTAAGACATTTTCATGCCTTTATATAAAAAAATTACAATTAAAAAAAAATCTATTATAGTTATAATATTATTGACAATAATAACAAAGCTAATAGATATGCTAATTATGTTAAATATGAATAAATAAAAATAATGATAAATATGATAATAATAATAATAATAATAGAAATAATATAAATTATAAATATATCATATTTAACAAGTTCATCAGTTTTTACCAGTTTCAACAGTATTTTATGTTATTTAAATTTGATTAACTAAATAAAATGCAGATATTCTACCTTTTTTATAACTTTAACTTTGATCTCAATTTTGTATATTTTCATATTTTTGATTGTGAAATTGATGATATAAATATTACTAATATAATTTTATTTTACTTGATAGAATATATTTATTATTACTAATTATATCAAAATTATTATCTTTATTATTAGATCTATAAATTAAACTAAATTAAGTATCTAAAATTTCATTTTCTTTCTCATTTAATATAAAATTATTTTTAAATATAAAGTGCATGATGAAAGTTCCTGAAATTAAAATTTGATATAAAAATCATGATTTTCTCTTGCAATATGCAATTTATTAAATAACTTTTCATGTAACATTATTGCATTAGCTAATTTAAATATTATGTAATGGAAAGGTACTGGATCTTTTAACATGATAATAACTCTAATACAAAGTCAAGAAAACTAAAAACTTCTTTTTAAACAATGTCTGAGATTATTAAATTAGTAATCAAATAGTTCAAATTTAAATTTAAATGAGAATTTGTGATCAATTTTAAAAGAAATATGTAAAAAAGAGGTTAATAATCTTATAATTAATAAAAAATCAATTATTATAAATGTTTTTATAATAAAGAATGAGAGAGAATTGAACTTAAAATTCTTCTTAATTTGATTTATAGTATGCCAAAATGATTGGAATAAATAATTAAAGGGATGATAATAAGCTAAGCTATTGATTTAACATATATTTTTTTTTTATTATATAATAAAATATATAATTTTAAATTTTTAAGTATTTTTGAGTAATTTTCAAAGTATAATAAATAAAAATATAATTTTAAAACTTTCATTGTATACTCTATATATATATAATAATAAAACTTAACTTTAGATAAAATACATTACTAATTTTATATGTTAAATTTTAAAAGATTCTAAATATTAATTATTTGTTAAAAAAAATCTATTAATAAAATAAAAAATTAAATTAAAAATTTAAATTTATATAAAAAAATAAATAAATTTATATTTTCTTATTTGAATTTAAACATATTTATTTTAATCTTTCTCTTTTTTTAAGATATTCAGTTAGATTTAAGAGTAGATTTATAGAAATATTTTTATAAAGTTATAGCTTAAAAATTCATTTTTATATTAAATATGTTAAATTCTATTTAGTTTTAATATTTCTAATAGATTTACATATTTATTTTCAGGTAAATTATTTGAGAATTTTGATGTACTACATAAACTTTACTGAAACATAGTATTTAGAGGTTATATAAATAAATAAGAGGCTAGCTCAAATGTTATACAGGGCTATTTAAGTACTAAAAAAACTAAAACCTTTAAAATTAGTTATACTAATAAAATTTCATATTAAAAATTCACATTCTTTATTTTTTCAATATATATATGTTGTTAACGTTACTCTTTCTATTGAATAAATTAACTATGATTTGAAGTCAGGGAGGCAATATTTATGACTTAAATCTAATTAACTTGACATGCTGTTTATTAGAATTTATTTAGTTAACAAGAAATAAATTATAAGTTTTATGTTTGCAAAAATGTTAAATGTGTTTATTATTATTATTAAATGTATATTAAATACAATATTAAGAACTTGTTGGAATTACTTTTGAATCTGTCCTTTTTCCAAGGCATTTTCATGCCCTTTATATAGGAAAATTACAATTAAGAAAATCTATGGTAAATATGATACTACTGATAATAATAATAGAGTTAACAGATATGTTAATTATATTAGATATAATATAAATGATAATAATGATATAAATAATAGAAATATAATAAATAATATGTGTGTTTTATTTGGCAGATATAGCAGATTTGGCAGATTTAGCATATATGTCATATTTGACAGGTTCATCAATTTTTGCCAGTTTCAACGTAGTTATTTATATTAGCTTTAGATAGATAAAGTTTTTTTAATTCAAATTAAACTACTGATAAGTTTTTTCTTTGGTTTTATATATTTTTAATACTTAATAATAGAGGATTAGAAATTATATATTTTTTTTTGAAATCTTAATAAAAAATTATAAATATTTTACTTAAAATATTTAAAAATAATATCTATAATTGTGATATATATATTACTAAAATTATACTAGAATGGATCTTTAAGTAAACTGAACCAGAAAAATAAAAAAAAGGTAATCATTTTGTTCAGAAAATATTAGTATTCTCTTGTTTTTATTATATATTATTTCAAGTATTTAATATACTTTTATATAATTTTAAAGTATTTTAAATAGCTAATCCTATTTTTTAAAAAATATAGAAATGTAACTTTGACAATGATTATAGATTTAAATAGTTTCATATTTTTTTCATAGATTATATTGATTATTAACCAATCTATTACTTTAAACGTGAAGTAATATTACATTTTAATATAATTACTTATAAAATTATATATTGTTTCAGTTCAGTTTCATAACTATAAATATTATGTAACTGTAAATTAGCCTTCTATTTATTTATCTATCCTTTAGCTAGTTTTTTACACTAAGTCATTATATGATCTATTCTTATTTGTCAGAAAATTACATCAATTATATTATTATGTATTGTAATACTAAATTGTTAAAAGGTTGCTATTTTTTTACCATCAAGTAATTTTAAAATACTAAAAAAATATAATAAATATTTTTACCAAATAGTAATAATATTAATTATTAATAGAAAAAATTTATTTGTAATGTAATAGAAAATATTTTAATAGATAGTTTAGTAATTTTAATAATATATCTACAAAGTATAAATTTTACAAACTATAAAAATATAATAATAAATAAAATTATTATAAAATAAAGCATTATATTATATATAAAAAAATATATAAACATATTACTATTATAAATAAAGTATTATAATAAAATAATAAATAGTAAAATAATGAAAATAATACAATATGAAACTTTTTCACAAGTACAAACTACTAGCGAAATTTTCACTATGTCATAATAGTATTCTAATATCTTTTGTAATCTTATTTAAGATTTTTATCTTCTCAGTATCTCTTGATAATTATTTTATAGCAAATACTTGCTAAATAAATTTATATAGATGTGATATTGAATCCAGAGTATATGGGTCTTTGCAATAGAAAGGGAAGAAACTCCAAAAAAATTAAAATTTTAGTTTATAAGCCAAAAATGTTCTAAATACTATAATTTATTTAGATTTATTATTAACTCATTTTTTATTTTTTTTTGAGTTTCCTCTCTATTGCAAAGGCCTCATATAATTCTTCTAAATTAGTAATATTTAACTATCAACATATGAGCTGTAATAGATTTGTCTATAAAAGAGATAATTTTATCTTTTGTAATCAACTTGTTATAGATCTATAATCAATAAATATCATTAATTAATAATAAATATAAAAAGAAAAAAAATAATAAATATACTGACAAAATTCTTATTTTAACTAAATTTTTAATATTATTAACTAATTTGATTTAAAAATTACTAAAATATCTAATTACTATATAATATTATTTAATTCTTTTAGCTAAATTGAGTTCATATTTAAGAACTTGTTATATCAATTCTTTAAATGCTCATTTTGGTAAATTTTATACACATAAAAATAAATATTTTAATTCTTTTAGAAAGTCTTAGCAAGTCTTCATTTTGTTCTTTTGATTTAATACTATAATTAATAACTCAGTTAAAATAGAAGGAATAAATTATAATCCTTTTACAATTGGAGTTTGCATTAATAAATATAATATTATTTGTCAACTGTAATACATTAGAGTTTAAAACAAAGCCAGTAAATGGTCATTTCATTAAATAATAAAGGAATACTTTTATTAATATTGAAATAATTTGTATTATTATTATTAAGAATGTTTAACATATTTCCTCTTAATTCTAAAAATGATGATTGTGTTAATTTTAAATAAAATACTCTATTTAAATGATCATAATAATTAAAATTATTGGTTCTTCTTTCTGAAAAATAAAATAGTTATTATCTTGATTAGATATATCTAATTAAGATAGTTTTAAATTATCCTGACTATTAATTAATTATGATCTTAGTTTTGAATTATTCTAATTATTATTAACACCTTTAAAATTTGATCTTAAATCATTTGATTATTGATATCTAATCAAGATCTTGGTTAAAATCTTAGTCTTAAATTATTTTGATTAATAATACTTTTTAAATTTGATCTTAAATCTGATTTTAAATTCATTTTTAATAATGAAAAATAGTTATAACCATAACTATTGATACTTAATAGAGTTGAATTCAGTCTTGTAAGAATCTTTCTTTAAAATATAAAGTTATCTTAATTTTAGTTCTTAATTTTAAAATTAAGTTTGATTTTAAAAATAAAAATTCATCATGATTATTAGTTTTTGAATATATAACTAATATTGGTTTTTTATTTATTTCTTCAACAATTTTTTTTTTTTAAGTTTAGCATCAGCCTTAAAGGTATAATAGTTTGAACATTATCATCATCTTAATTTATAACATTATTATCATCTTCATTATTATCATTATTATTGTCTTTATTATCATACTCATTAATATTTTCATTTGAATTATTATTATTAACATTATTTAAAATAATATCATTATTATCTTCATTTATATTATTTAAAAGTTCATCAATTATTGATGTAGCAATATTTTTTTCTTTATAACCTTTATTACTTTTCTTAATTCTTTTAGTAGTTTTACTCTATTTATTATTGATATTGCCATCATGGTTATTTTTAGCTTAAGTTTCTTTTATTATCTTTTTATGATTTCTTTACTTATATTTTTATTTATGAAATATTAGTATTAATTACAAGATCATCAAGGTTATCTGAAAGTATTATTTCTTGACTATCATGAGATTTTTTAATATTTTTATTAATGCTTAATTTTTAAGTATATGTTTCTTTAATTTTTATACAGTTTTATGATTATTATTTAGTAAAAGTAAAAAGTAAAAAGAAAAAGAATATTGTATAGACCCTGCTAAAAGTTTTTGAATGCTTTTTGGCTCAATGTAAAACTTAAAATTTTAAAGTTTATTAAAAAAATTTATTAATTTATTT